ACATCCGGCGGCGCTTGGGCCTGTGTCCGAGGCGTACCCACTCCTCTTCCTCCTCCTCCTCCTCCTCCTCCTCCTCCTCGTCCTCCTCCTCCTCCTCCTCCTCCTCCTCCTCCTCCTCCTGCTCCTGCGCCGTCTGTTCCTCAAATGGCCGTCGCGCTGCATCCCCCCTCCACACGCTCCCGCACGCACGGCGGCCGCTGCGGCCGCCCCGCTCGGACAGTCTCGACTGGCACGCGTTAACAGGAGAAGGGAAGGTAGGGGGAGACCTGAATCATTGTACCCCGTTGGAGCTAAGGTAACATGAAGGCTGGGAAACCGCATCCTCCTGCAAAGCCTTCAAAGCCTATTCGACATGGAAGGGGAATCACCCAAAACCCTGCCGGGTCAGCTCCCTGCCCTCCCCAGCACGCGCTGGCCTCCTGGTCGGCCAAGCGTCGCAGTACTGGGGAGGAGCACGAGAAGGAGGAGGAGGAGGAGGAGGAGGAGGAGGAGGAAGATGAGACACCTGCGAGTGGCGGGGCCCATGGGTGCCACGGAGGGTCGAACTCCATCTTCTCCGATATCCCTGGCAACCGACCACGGCGCAACTTCCGCAATTCATCATTCAATGCTGCCTTACATACGGGATCCCTGAGACGAATCGCGCGAATCGAGGCGATGGCACCGCATGCATTGCATAAGAGTGCAAGCATACCCGTCGCAGACACAGCCGTAACAGGAACTCCTCCTCCTCCTCCTCCTCCTCCTCCTCCTCCTCCTCCTCCTCCTCCTCCTCCTCCTCCTCCGCCTCCGCCTCCGCCTCCTCCTCCTCCTCCTCCTCCTCCTCTTCCTTCTCTCCTCTCTCCTCCTCCCTCCTCCTCCTCCTCCTCCTCCTCTCCTCCTCCTCCTCCTCTCCTCCTCCTCCTCCTCCTCCTCTCCGCCTCCGCCTTCCTCCTCCTCCTCCTCCTCCTCCTCCTCCTCCTCCTCCTCCTCCTCCCCTCCTCCTCCTCCTCCTCTCTCCTCCTCCTCCCCCTCCCCCTCCTCCTCCTCCTCCTCCTCCTCCTCCTCCTCCTCCTCCTCCTCCTCCTCCTCCTCCCTCCTCCTCCTCCTCCTCCTCCTCCTCCTCCTCCTCCCTCCTCCTCCTCCTCCTCCTCCTCCTCCTCCCCCTCCTCCTCCTCCTCCTCATCCTCCTCCTCCTCGTTACACCACCATCCCCCGCTCCCGAGCAGGCCAAAAGACTGCCCTCCTCCACAAGGCAGGACTGGCTCCTTCACTGGCCACCGTCCAGACTTCTTGCACGACTCGACCCTCCGAAGCGTTCCCGGGCAGTCCCCAGGGGCCATCGCTGCAGCGCTCCTGGGTCGCCGCGTGCCAGTGCCCTGCAGCACTCCTGGAACGTTCCTGGGCAGTGCGCCACTGCCGCGGGCAGCGTGCCAGGGCTATGAATTAGGGCCTGGAGCGTGACCTGAACCTCTGAAGCATTCCTGCGCAACGCTCCAGGGCTCCTGGGGAGCCTCTCGTGTCCCCCGCTTCATTCCCAGGGCCACGACTCTTGGTAGAGTACGGTGGGTCCTCGCACTTGTGGCCGCGATGCCTCTTTGAATGCAGTGGGCCCGCGCTCCCGGGGCCTCACAGCGTTGAGATGATGAGCAAATCCTATGGACGATCGCTCTGGAGGCCAGAATCCCTCTCTAAATGAAAAGGATCCCCGATAATCAGATACCCCTAAACACAATACCTTGTAAAGCCTATTCGGCCGCTGCTGCTTGAGAGCATCAATGTACCTGGGGAGGAATTTGGGGGGCCCATCGGCCGCCGTGGGGCATTCTGGATGGTTATTGAGTTTCTTGATTCGTTCCTTGTCTGCTGTCCATACACGTGATCAAGGCTCGAAGACTACAGCTGCCAATTGTCAACAACGCGACTGATCTACATTGATGAGAGGCTGCGTTGAGACAACAGGATGCAGCAGATCTCAAAGGCGCGCGCCGTCAGTCATTTATACGACTCGACGAGTTCACGCGTCCATTGTCAGAACGCGCATGGACTGCGGAGGTGAAGCATGTGTTGAGCGAGTTGTGTGGTGTGAACTATGTTGTGTAAGCTTTGGGGTTTAAGTTACATGGTGTAAGCTATGGGGTGTAAGCCATGTGGTGTAAGCTATGATGTGTAAGCTATGTGGTGTGATCTATGTGGTGTGAACTATCGTCTGTAAGCTATGTGATGGAAGCTATGTGCCGTAAGCTGTGTGGTGAGAGTTGCGTGGTGCGAGCTATGTTGTGCAGCGTATGTGGCGTGAGCTGCGTGGCGAAAGCCAGGACGTGCGAGCTGTGTGGTGCAGGCTGTGGGGGGTGCTGGCTGTGCTGTGCAAGTTGTGTGCTGTGAGCTGCGTGGCGTGAGCTGGGCGGTGCAAGCCGCGTGGTGCAAGCTGTGTGGTGCAAGCCACGTCGTGCACGCTGCGCGGTGTGAGCGCACGGGGCGCCCACGAGCCGCCCACGGGCAGGCACCCGGCGAAACCCCCGGGAACCCACCGGGCGCGGAGAGCGCCCACGCGGCGCCCACGGGCGCCCACCACCCGGGCGCCGGCCGACAACCCCGGAAACCCATCCAGCGCCGTGGGCGAAACAGTTGTTTGATTCGCGGGTCGAGAGAGCACCTCTTCCGGTCGAAGCTAAGCGGGCCGCGCGAAGCTTGAGCCAACAAAGAGAACCGTGGGCAAAACAGATGAGAAACCCGAAGGTGAGCGTTTTCTGATTCGGCGTTTCAGCCACTGGGCGGACGGGGGGGGAAGGGGGGGGGGTCTGGCTCTGGACCTCTGCTCAGTGCGACTGTTCGCAGCAGTGCGTCCTGTGGGGAAGGCTCCACCTGATCGCAACGAACGCCAAAAGCGGCCACGAGCTGTTCCATGGGGGGGGGAGGAGTGCGAGGGCCCGCGCCGATCAGCAAAACAACGAATAAAAAGCCGATCGCAAGTGCAAGCACTGTTTGGGGAATCTTTGGATGAGCCGATCGGGGAACCCTGAACCCACGAACCCTGCCATCTCTGGGGAAACAAATGTTTACTTCCGCCGGTTTCTGCCGAGGCTCCGCAAGCTGCCGCCGGCTTCCGCCAGTGAACCCGCGGCCGCCTCACTCTCGCCGCCCCGGTCTTGGGCGTTCTGGGGCTTTCTTGAAGCCATCCTCGAGCCGCGTGGGCCCGTGTTGGGAGTCCCTGTTGACTCTCAGGGACCCCCGTCTGGTTGAGCTGGAGGCGGTGGTCGGGAGCGGCCAAGAGGGGGGTGTCCAAGAGGGGGGGGTGCAAATCATGACCGGCGGCATGTGCGCGGCCCAGCGGGGGGGCCAGGGACGTCATGAAATAAGAAGAGGCGCCATGAAACCTGGGGAGATCTCATGGCCCCCGCCATGATATCCACCCCCCCTGGTCGTCACCCCCCTCTTTGCCACCCCCGAGGTGGAGACCCCAAGACCCCGTCGTGGGACGATCCGGGGCGCAGGGGGCCCGTCTCGACGGCCGTGTGCGCGCCGCGGGGGCCGATCGGGTACCCCGCGCACGGAGGGGACCAGAAGCGTGTCGGGTATGTCGGGGCGCCTCTTGGAACGTCTCTCGGAGGCCAGCCCGGGGTCTTCGGGGAGGCGTTCGGAAGGCTCCGAATCAGGGACCGACCTAAGCCGTGCTTTTCGTGTTCGTTGCGTGCTCGTTTTCCCTCGTCTTCAGTCTGCCTTTGCTGCAGAACGGAATCGAAACGGAAACGGCCCACGAAATCGCCAAAACAGTGTTTAGGTCGCCCCCTGCTCTGAGTGCCTCTTGGGGTTACTTCGAGGACCCGCTTGGGGCCTCCTGGGGGCGCCCTGCAGCCTCCTGAGATTTTCGTTCTGGACATCTTGGGGTGAGCCCAGGGATTGACCTAAGCAGTGCTCTTCGTCTTCGTGTTGTGTTCGCCCTTCCCTCGTGTTGTCTCCACTCTGCTCGTGCTGCAGAACGAAATCGAGACGAAAACGGCCCACGAGATCGCCCAAACACCGCTCAGGTCGCCCCCCGGGGGGTGAGCCCAGGGCGGAGGCCACGGGGTGTGCGCTGGAGCCTTCTCTCTCACAACCCTTGGCTGTGGGGGGTCGCTTGGGCTGCCCTGTGGACCGCCTTGGGGGCCGTCTTGGCCTGCCTCGAGGCCGTCTTGGGGGCCTCGTGGGTCGGCTTGGGGCCGTCCCTGGGGCCTCTGGGCTGGCCCGCGATGGCCCTCCGTGCGCAACAGCGGGCGTGATGAGCGTGCGCGCTCTGCTCAGGGAACTGGGATGACGCTCGTCTGGCGAGGGTCCGACAGTCCTTCAGCCTTCCGCTTGGGAAGGCCCAGGGGGCCTTCTGAGGGTCGTCGTCGGGCGTTTCTCCGGAGGCTTGGAAATTGACACCGGCACCAACACAGGGCGTTGCCTCCACCAGGGGAAGATGATCCTAGATTTCGGTGTTGGTGGTAATCTTCCGGCCGCCTAGGAAGCCGGAATATTACCACCATCACCGAGATCGGGGTCGTCTTCCCTCGGTGGAGGCACGCCGCAGATCTTGGTGTAGCCCTGCGATTTTTCGTGAAGTCTGGGGCCGCACGGGGCATTCGTGGGGCTGTCTGGCCGCCTGCCGGACCGTTTCGGGCCCGCTGGTTCAGCTCGGCAGAGGCAGCCAAGCTGCCCGGCAGGCTCCCAGGACCCTCCGAAGAGGCTTCTGGGTCGTCCCTGGGGCCAGAGATCTGAGTGGTCCGGCTTCGGGGGGGGAGAGAAGGGGGGCCCAGGAAATAGAAACATGTGGATAGGAAGACAAAGAGAAAGAGAGAGAGGCGAGGAGATAGTCGAAAAAACAGCACGAACCAAAAGCACACAGCAAAAGCTGCAGTCGTGCAATGAGAGCGTTTATTAGTCGCGGCAGCGGCAACTGGGTAACATCACGATTCGTGCTGCCTGGGCATTCCCAGATGGCGCCAGCGCGAAAACGACGTTGCCGCCCGCACCCCCCTCCCCGGCTCCCCCCCCATCCTCCCCTGGTAAGTAACGCATGCTTTCGCCCGAAATAAAACTCCTCTCAACGCAGCTGGTCCTCGCTGGTGCAGCGCATCGCATCAGGGCGGTGTCACACCGAGGCGCGCGATGAGTGCGCACGGGCCGAGCGGGCGAGCCGGAGCGGGCTGCCCGCGGAGGGCGAGCTTCTCGGCCGCACAGGCGGGCCTCCCACGCGCAAGCTGGTGCTCCCCTCTGGGCTCCGCTCGGGGGGCATCCGCCGACCGCCTCACCGATCCTGCCGTTCGCCTACCATGGGATATCGTCCTGCATCTCTCGGCGCTCCCCCGGGGGGGGGGAGGTGCCGGCCGATGATCTATCACTGCACCGACCTTGCAGGACGTGCTCCAGCGGATTTCTGCGCGGATTTCCGCCAGTGTCAAACCCCGAAGCGGCGAGCGAAAAAAACGGAGCGAGCTTCACGTTTGCTCCGAACGAGCCCGCTCGGCGATGTGGGCGCCATGAGATCTCACCTTTCCGCCCTGGCCAGCCCAAACGCACGCCCGCGCGCTCCGGTGCCGCGTGCCCTCTGCGCGGACCTGCGCAGCCAAGAGGGTCAGGTTTGTCCAGGGAGGGGGGCCCATCGCTGGACCCGCATGGGAAGGAGGGGCAACCTTCCCTATAGGGTTGGGTCGGGCATGTCCGCCTGCAGGCGGGTTTGGGGCGAAAAATTAAAAACAGCCTAAAAAAGAATGGTTAAACAAAAGACTAGGAAAGTCGTCCTCTGACTATTTTTGACTATCTTTGAATATGCCACCTGTAGAGGGACATGCCCAGCTGAACCCTAGGGTACCCTTGCATCCTTGCCCCTTCGGCCCATCCTTGGCCACTTTCGCTGGCCGACCTCCCTCGAAAAGCGTTCGCAGGGGCCTCCAAGGCATCCTTGCATCCTTACCGCGCAGCCTTGAGATACGTGCTGGCTGTATCGCTGGACCCTTACAAATAATGTCTTGTCATTCGCCTGCGATGTGGGGCCAACCTGCTCGGGATCCGAGACAGGGAGGGGCAGACCCAGGGAAGGCGGTGCTCTGAGCATACTGGCCCGGGCGAAGAACTTCCAAAGACTTCCCGAGGGGGGGAATCAAGGAAGAAACACCTGTCGGGACAAGCGCAGCCCCGAACGCAGAAAACTCAGGGAACCTGAGCTTCATGTTCCCTGACCCCCAAACAGCCTGACCCTCCACTATGAGAGAAGCACATCCCACCCCCGCCCCCGCCAGCACCCCCACGCCCGATCTGGTGAGCCTTGGGGTCCTGGCTGGGGATGTGGGCTGTTTTTGGCAACAACACCCCCATCCCCAGTCAGGACCCTCTGGATCACCGGGTCGGGGGTAAGGATCCTGGCGGGGGTGTTTGGTGTCCGTTCCATGGGAGCCTGCGTGGCCCCCGGCGATGTCCGATGTGGGCCTGATTTGGACCGGATTTGGCACAAATGTGGGCCGGATTTGGACCAGATTTGGATTGGATTCGCGGGGACTAGAAGAACGAGGAGGGGGCGGGATGTCGGCGTCGCCGCCGAAGGCTCCCATGAACGGACATCTCAGGGGGGCGGGGTCGGGCGCGTCCAAGAGGGGGCGTCCAAAACGGGGGTGCAAATCATGGCCAGCGGCGTGTGCGCGGCCCAGGGGGAGGGGCCTGGGACGCATTGAAATAAGAAGAGGCGCCATGAAATATGGGGAAGTATCATGGCCCCCGCCATGATCTCCACCCCCCCCTATTCTTAGGTCGGGCATGTACCCCTACAGGCGGATTCAAATCTAAGAAACAAAAAAAAAAAAAAAAACATAAACAACAAAAAGTCCCCATACTACTTTTGATTCTTTGTTTCGAATACTCCTCCTGTAGAGGCACACGCCCGACTTAACCCTGGTCGTTGCCCCTCCCTTGGCCGCCCCCGTGGGCTGCGGTGCCCCCACGCCACCAGGCGGAGGGCCCTGGCCGGGGCCCACCCTGCGCCCTGGAGGCGGCGCGGGCGCCCTCCGGGCCTCCTGACCGGGCCAAGGAGCCGCTGCTGCGCCCACCCCACGCCCAGGACTGGCCCCGCCGGGAGCGGTGAGTCTCTCTCTCTCTCTCTCTCTCTCTCTCTCTCTTTCGACAGAGAGAGAGAGAGAGAGAGAGCTCCCCCTCTCGACTGCCTACCAGACCACCCCAAAACCCGACCCGAAGAGCCCAATTTCGGGTGGGGGGGACACACGGGTCCAATCCCCTGCGTCCCCCCACTGTGCACGGAGGGCACATCGCTGCCTTCAGGTTGGGTTGGGGTAGTTTGGGTGGCAGTGAGCTCTGGGGCTGGCCTGAACATCGTGCGCGGACGTTTTGTTCCCGAGCCGTTTGTGCCCCTTCGTTTCGAACAGCTCGTCGCCCCCTCCACCGAGCCACCGTGGACGTGGACAGGGTCCTCGGGGGCCCTGGAGTTCGCGAACAGCTCGTTTCGAACCGTTGACGAACCGTTTGCGAATATCCGGACAGGAGCATGTCTTGTTCACATTTCCGAACACATTACAGACCACGCCTTGGGTCGGCTGATGTCCCCCGATATGGCCTTGCGAGACGCTGTCGATCAGCCACTCGATGTGCCCCTGCTGCTCGAGCGCTACTTGCTGCAGCATGTCGACAGCGTCCTGCAACGTCGACGACCGGACCCTCTCGGACTCGAGCTGCATCTTGAGACTCTCGACTGTGCTGCGCAAGCTGGCTGAGGCGTGCATCTCTTCAGCCACATGCCCGCGGAATGTAGTCAACTCAGAACTGACCCTCACCACCTCCGCGCGCAAAGCCTGGATTTCAGCTGCAGGGTCCACGTGTTTCAGGGGCATGTGCATCTGTGAGCTGGCAATGTTTCTCCTGAATGTGTTGAACCGCTCTTTGACTTCTGTTTTGAGCCGTTCGTTGAAATGGTCGACTCCCCCGTCTCGGCTTTCGATCTTTGCTAATATACGTGCTTTGTCTTCTGCACAAGAAGCGCCACACTTCCTGACATCACTGAAGTGATGGTCTTGCATGTCGAAAATGCTGCTCGTGCTAAAATGTATGTCACGCTTTTTCTCAAAATACTCGTCGATCTCACTATTACACCATATCCGTGTAAGGGGCGTACATGCTTCGTCCAATGCCACAATGGCTTGACCACCCGCCTGGCTTATGTGCGTCGCGACCTCTTCAAACTTATCGCATTCAAAAGCGGCATCGTCGTCCGTCAGCACCGCGGAGCTCCCTGCGAATTGGGACAGACTCACCCATTGGTTCACACAGTAGGCACAAAAGAAGACATACTTGTCCAGATTTGGGGACAGATGCTCTCGCCCATACCTGCGCAAGTCGGACTCGATTTGCGCCACAGTTGTAGCCCGAGTTGTGAATTCGGTGAGATGATATACCAATGCACTCAAGACGTCGCAATGACGGGAACCCCAAGCATGAATGACATGATAATGTGGAAAAGAGATACCATCATTTCCCATTGGGGGGTACTGGTTAGTCAAGCTAGCTCTGTCTGTGTCTGTGTAGTGTTTAATGATATCATGCACAATCTCGGCAGTGGTTGGGTCCTTCTTGCCATATTGACCGCAAACTATGTGTTCATAGAAATCCAGCATGTGGCGGAGTTTGATACCGCGAGAAGCAACCTCTTGCGCTTTCCTGTTCCATTCGAAGTCCCAAAAGCGTCTTGCCCGCTGTGCATTCCGCATTGTTTCAGCGTCGCGAAGATTAAACTTACAACCGAAGGCAATTGCAGAGTCAAGGTGAGACTTCTTCTTTGTGGAAATGGCACTATCGACGATCTGATGGAAATAATTGTCCACAGTATCCATGTATACAGTGTCGTCTGGCTCCCATATGGCTGATGAGTTTTTGCTGGTGGTAATGCCACTGGTGGACTTACAGACTTCCCAACTCCCACTTTCAAGCTCATGAGGCATCGACTGCGTCGACTTCGAACGCAGGAAACCTGGCTCTGGCTTCTTGAAAGAAACACCTTTACATTTCACGAAATACCACCGGCTTTCCTCTGGAATCCACGAAAGCCGCTCATTATCACTATCACGGGAAATCCAGCAGGTCTGCTCATGATTATATGAGAGCTCACTGCCAATAACGCCACCTGGACCGACCAGAACGAGTCTGGCCGGTCGTGCTCTTCCGAATTGGAAAGTAAGGCCTGAAGGCCCTGAGATGGCCCTGATTGCCTTGCGAGGCTGCGCTCTTGGCGCTGTGGCCATAAAAACGGAGCGAGCTGCTTGCAAAACAGAGCAGCCAACACAAGCGAACGCACGACGAACTACAGAGTGCGCTTCACGTTGAGCCGACATGACCCCAGTAGGTTATTGAGGCCGCTAGGCCTATCTTCACACCCTATTGGTACTCTCGTGTGGTGTTTGAGAAGCCCGTTGGGGCCCTGTTGGGTGTCTGGAGGATATATTAAGGCCCTCTTGGGCCATCCTGGAGTTCCTTCTAGAGCCGTCTCGGGTGTCTCGGGGCCCTTGAGGAAATTCACGGGGGCCGTATGTAAGCCCTCGTTGGCCTCTGGCGCCCATCCGAACGAATGCTCCTTTGGGCCATCTTGGACCCTCTTGGGGCCGTCGTGGACCTTGCTAGGGGTCGCTTGGGCATACCCGGCCGAGGTGACGCCCTCGTCGACTCTCCCACAAGCCGTAATGACCCACTGGGAAATAAGCACAATTAAGACATCGAGCACTTTCAATCATTATCGCAATATGCGGCCTGCCTCGGAGCCTCGTGGGACCATTGGGGGTCGATCGCAGCCTCTTCAAGTCCGCCGCCGTGCCTCTGGCACGGGGTGGAGTGCCCCAAGGCTCACAGCTGCGCTGCTGCTGCAACCAAAATTGCAATTTCTTAAAACCCGAACTGTGGAATTTCCGACCGTTCCGTGATCTTCTGGAATCTTCTGGGGGTTCCCCCGTGACTTCTTGAGTGTTCCCTGCTGGTCCTCTGGACGCTGTGCCCGCCCAAAGCGACCTCCTGAACCCTCCGAGGCGTCCAAGAATTCGCCAAAAGATCGCTCCAAGACGCCCAAGATGGCCTTCAGGCGGCCCAAGAGGTCCCCAAGATGGCCAAAGAGGCCTCCAAGAGCACCCCCCAGAGGGCCCCAGCAGACAACAAGCATTGCTTTTCCACGGTTTTTGAAAGATCCAGGCGCTTGGAATCCCTGCAACAAGATCCGCCACCACGGTGAGCCGCGGTCTGTGCACACCGGGCCCACTGTGTACAGCGTGTCGTCTCAGCGTCACCCTCCGCAAACAATAATCGAAGCCCGCCGCGGAGAGGTCGAAACACGTCGTCTGGATTTGAAGGGAAGAAATCCCGCCAGCTCTTGAGGGCGTGAGTGGTTTGGAAAGTTTCTTCTTCCAACCCCCCTTCTTCCCCTTCGGGGAGGGGCTCATCACTGTTCCCTATTCGTAAGCACCCCCTCCCACAGGCGACCGGCAGCGAACCATGGCCAACAAGGACCCACCCCCCACCACCCCTGCCAAAAGACAATGTTAAGTCCACTGTGGAGCAGGGTCGTGGGTCATGATCGGGGGGTCGCGGCCGCTTTGTATTGTTTTGTTGACAGGGACGGTGGGGGTGCCCGCATATTGCCTGCTGTGCAGCAGGGCCAGCACTCCTGCCCAACAAAAACAATACAAAGTGCACTTCGAGGCAAAATCTGGATCATGTGCGAGCACCCCGCGATCACTGTGCATTGGTTTTTGACTGAGACGGCGGGGGTGCTGGCTTATGGCCTGCTGTGCGCAGGCCCACCAGACACTATGATGGCCACCCGCCGCGATTGCGCACTGGTTTTCGATCAGGGTGGTGGGGGCCGACACGTTTCCCCATGTGTACTACCACGTGCGCAGGCGCACCTGGCACTCTCTGCGCGTGCCCCGAACGTGGCGCACATGGCGCGGCTGGAGCATGCGGCACACATGGCGCACGTGGATCACGTGGCGCATCTGGCGCAGCAGGCGTGCCTGGCACGCTTGGGCCAAAGAGGTGCCTGGCGCACCTGGCGCGCGTGGCGCGCCTGAAACGCGTGGTGCGCCCCGCCCCAGCATTGCGCACATGGGGTCTGTTTTAGTTACCCTTAGATGTCCATCCAAAGACGACCGCTGCATATGCTGCGGCTCGGGTGCTACTTCTATGTTGGGAGGGCGGGTGGGAGTGAGCGAGGCGGCTTGCGGGCGGGGAGGGTGTCTTGACCTCTCCCAGTACCCTGCCCCCCCTGAGTCTGGACGGGGCAGCGTCCAAGATGGCCCGAAGATGGCCCCCCAGGTTCCCAAGAGTGCCCCAAGATGGCCCCAAAGAGGTGCCCAGTCCAAGAGGCCCCCAAGAGGCCCCCGAGATGCCCCCAAAAGGCTCCCAAGAGATTACAAGAGGCCCCAAGAGGCCCCCCCAGAGGCACCCAAGACGCGCAAAGAGGCCTCGGCGAGGAAGCCAAAATCATGGCGTTTACGAAGGCTTCTACCACATTTGGGCATCCTAGGGGGGTGGGGGACTAATTGAGGAGCCCCCCTCCTTTGATCGATCTCCTCCAAGATGGCCCCAAAATGGCGGCCGAGGCTCCCAAGGGTGCCCAGGAGGCCCCAAGAGGCCCCCTAGAGGCACCCAAGATGCCGCAAAGAGGCTCCCAAGAGACTCCCAAGAGCAGCACATCTCGGTGGAGCATGGTAGGTGGGCCAGGCTTTCACGCCGCAGATATCAGACTTTGCGCCCTGGGGTCCGCTGCCAGAGAGAGAGAGAGGAGAGCCTAATCTGGCGGGGCTGAGGCGGCAGAAAACCACGCCCAGCAGCCTTGACGTTGGAGACTGGTCTGAAGCTGGGCCTCTTCTGCCCTGGGCCAATGTTCCCAGGAGGGTTTTAACCGAGCTTCTCTCCTCGGGGCTGGTGCAGAAGATCCAGGATACGAATTGTCTGCCTGGGACCATGAAGTCACAGCTTAAGCGTTTACAGCGCACTGCCAGAAAAAAGTCTGCAGGCCTGGAGGGCACGGGCGCAGCACGCATACAGTCAGCGAGGAGTCTCGAAGGCCTTCAAATACGTTCGAGGCACTGTCCAGGCGCCCCGAGTCTTCGCGCCGGATGAATCTGAGGCCAAGGTGCTACCGGCGGCGGGACCGCAAGCTCTCGACGTCATCATTTGGCAGTGGGAGCCCGCGCGGGCTCAGCCTGGCAGAGCCCGGGGAGAACACCCCAAGGATTGGAACCTTCGAGCAGCCGCGGAGCAGCGCACGCCGCGCGTTGAATCACTATCGTGGGGCGCTGACGGCGGGCAGGTGCTGGACCAACTGGCGACGCTGCCGCCACTGACTCTGGATGCCCTGGATGCCGCGCTGGCTAGCTACGGTGTCTCGGCCGGGCTTGGCTGGGACAGGATGCACCCGAGGCAAGTTGCGTGGCCCCCAGTGAGCTACGAAGTAGGCCTTCTTGGACATTCTGCGTGCTCGGGAGAGGTCCCCTCAGGAGTGTAGGTCGTGGATGCTGCCTGCCATGTTTCTCTGTAAGCCGAGTCCCCCAGGCGGAGTCAGACTGATCATTCCGCATTCGCCGAGGTGCCGAGTCTGGCCCAGGATGCGCCAGCCCGTCGCGAGGCGCTGGGGAAAGGTCTTGGGAACGCCGCGCTTGGGGGAGACTCTGGGCACACTGTCATAGGTCAGGTCACGTACACAATCTCTCGCAGCGACTCGCGAAGATCAGGGGATTCCCGGCTGCTAGCGGCACGCTGGATCTTTCGAAGTGGTACGAGTACATTTCTCATGAGGAGTTGCGGGTGGAAGCTACGCGCACAGGCTTTCCCCCCAGATGGCTGCAGTGCCCGCGCACGGCGCACCGTCTGCCCAGAAGGGCGATCTGGCAGTCTGCGGCATCAGGAATCACCCAAGCCAACGGGACGGTTGCAGCTGGATGCAGCGTTGCGCGCCTGTGAGCTCCAGAAGCTTCCCTGAGGTAGGTTTCAGGACCTAGTGGATGATTTCTTACTCCAAGCTGTCGGCAGGTCTGATCAGGTGTCATGTCAGTTTCCTGACGCGCTCATGGCCCTGGCGGGAGGGCTGGAGGTCAAAAAGTTGTGTGCGAATCGGGGCAAGGCAGGGTATCTAGCTAGTTCGGGTGAGCTTGCTTCTAGTCTGCATGAGCGCTGGACCTTGTCAGATGCTGGCAGAGCTGTGGAGGCTAGGTGGCTTGGCACTGCTGCCAACCGAACAAAACAGACAGCCCCAGAAAGCTGAGGGGCGTCACGGCCAAGGTGCTGAAATTGCACGAATCTGGGGCCCAAGGCTGCACCACCGCGAGGGGCGCAGACAGACAGCCGCATGCTCTCGGGGCGGTGGCTGCCCGGGCCGAAGGGCGCCCGCCCCCGGGAGCTTCCGCCGGCCTGCGCGTGCGGGCCTCTCAGAGCGGGGACCCCATCGCCTGTCGGGACCCGCTCGTCCTCCACCCCGCCCGAGTCGTGACGCACCGTGCCCCAGCGGCCGCCTCGGCCCCGGCAGGGCACGGCCGCGAGGCGCGCCCGCCGGAGCCCGGGCCCCGGGCCCGGGCCGCCGGGCCGCCGACCCCGCGCGGGCTGGCCTTCCGGCGCAGGCGAGGCGTGGAGTCTCGATGGCCGCGGCCTTCCGCGTCTGGCGCCGTCTGGACGAGTCGCTGCCGTGCTGGGCGTGCGGGCATCCGTTGCTGAAGGGGCCCTGGGGCACACAGATAAACACACACACAAAAAAAAGGATTCCCAATATTTTCCCATATTTTCTGGGTTTTGTCTTCCCCCTCACGTCCCATATTGCCCCATATGTTTTGGGGGAATCGAAGATTCATTGTGTCTGTGTTTTTTGCCCTCCTGAGTTGCTGCGACGTGGTGCGAGGGAGGCGGCGGCTGCTGCCTCGGGCGCCGTGGGTCGCCGCCGCGTGCCTGGAGCCTGGGATTAGGCGGCTGCACGGGAGGTCCTCCCGAGAGAGGTGGCTCCGCACAGCGGCCGGCGGAGCCTGGAGCCAGCATCGCAGGCCTGCGAGCGTGCGTCTTGCATGGGGCTTCTCTCTGGACCCAGCCAAGGCTGCTCGCGCGCAGGTTCTAGCAGCGTCCATGCAGGGAGCATGTGCGCAAGGACGAGTGCCCACCGTTTCTGCGCCAGGCTGCCGAGGGGGTCGGCAACAGGAGTGAGGGGCACGGTGAGTTGTGTTGCAGGTGTCTCTTCCCCTCGCCCCGCTGGTGCTTCCCCAAGGTCGAGCCCGAGGCCAAGGTTTGGTGGGAGGGGATGCCCGCGGAGTGGCGCGTCTCTGAGGATGGTTTCGTGGACAGCGCGGCCTATCACACCACAGTGTCTGGGATAAGTCGTCCTGGGTTCTCGAGTGCTCAGATAGACCCTGCAGGCTCGGTAGTCGGCGTTTGCTATGGAATTGTGCCCTTGCAGCTTGCACCGCTCCAGCAGGCTATAGATGATGAAGACATGGCCTTTCTATCCACCCACTGCGAGCGGGACCCTGAGAACCCCCTGCACGTGTACGACGATTGCGCGGCCACGGTCTCTTCTGCGAGGGACCCTGGGGCTGCCCTCTGTCAGGCAAGCCCGTCAGCACGTCTGGCGGGAGTAGTTGGAGGGTGGCGAGGGGCACAGATCTGCCATCAAGGTGAAGCGTCACCAGTCTGAGGCCAACTCGAGGTCTGATCACAAGACCCGGCTGATCAGAGGCAATGCTACAGCAGATAGATACGCCAAGCTAGGTGGTAAGCTCTGGCAAACCCCGCCACGGCAGGTTCTGTTCGGAATGCCGGGAGCGATGGTCAACCCTAATTAAACCCAGGCGCGCCTGCGAGCGACTGCCCCTGAGCATGGGCTGTGGCGTGGCGGCATCTCGCTGGCACGCGAGGGCCCAGCAAATCTTCTCGGACGGAGGTTTTGTGGACTTGCAAGGCGTTGCCGGAACCTCAGATGCCACGCTCGAGTGAGATCCTGAGGACTTGGACGGCCTCCACGAGGTTTGCTTGGAGGCTGGGGTGAGGCCCTTTGAGGGAGTTGAGGGGGTCAGGCTGTCTGGAGTTACTGGTGGTCCCCAACCTCCCCCCCCTCCTCCCCAGACGTCGCCCGTGGAAGGCGCCGTCCAGGTCTCGTGTATCCCTTGGGAGTCCAACGGGCACCGTGGTGTGCAGGCGAAGCGTCTGGGCCTTGAGGGAGGCCCAGAAGTTCGACCAGGAGATGCTGTGCTTGCTTGCAAACCCCGCGGCGCGTCCATGTTTCGGCCGATGCGTCGGGGAGAGAGCCCGGACGGCCTTCGCCAGGGTCCCCCGGCCCAGGGGCTGAGGGCCCAGAGGCCCCGCCTCGGTCTAGGTTTTTGTTCCCTGGCGGGTTCCAGGCCAGGCTCGGCGCCGCCGCGGCGCCGCGGCAGGTGCGAGGTCCGAGCCGCGCGGCAGGTGCGTGTTCCCTGCCGCCGCGGCAAGTCCGAGCGGCGCGCAGGTGGAGGCTCGGTCGGCCGGCCTGCCGTCGCTCAGCCTCGAGGCCGTTTGCGCGCGCCGCCGTAGGCGGCCAGGACTCTGCGGCTGGCCGCCCCGCTGCTGCCGTCGCTGCTGCCTCGCATGGCCTCTCTGTCCGACGTCTCTCGGATTTAGAGGTTGCGAGGCGGCACGGCCTTGGCTCCCCAACCGATGTGCTGACGTCTGCGGAATGGTTTAACAGAATCGCGGCCAAGGTTACCCTTGATGAGCTGCCTCAAGAGGAGGCGCAGCTCGGCACTGAGTCTGAGGACGAGGGGGCTCCTACCCCATATGGCCAATCTCGGTCTCACTCCCCTCCTCCTCCTCCTCCTCCTCCTCCTCCTCCTCCTCCTCCTCCTCCTCCCTCCCTCCTCCTCCTCCTCCTCCTCCTCCTCCTCCTCCTCCTCCTCCTCCTCCTTCCTCCTCCCTCCTCCTCCTCCTCCTCCTCCTCTCCTCCTCCTCCTCCTCCTCCTCCTCCTCCTCCTCCTCCTCCTCCTCCTCCTCCTCCTCCTCCTCCTCCTCCTCCTCCTCCTCCTCCTCCTCCTCCTCCTCCTCATGGTCCGGGGGCCTGCAGCCCCGCTCTGGACCACGCCTGCCAGCCGGGCGCCTCCGTGAGCGCCGGCTGCGCCACGTCCTCGCACGCCCGCGACTCACAATCTCATTTCTCCCCCATCCCTCACTCGCCCCTTCTCCTCGTCCAAACACCCCCTCATTCCCATCCTTGCCATCCCTCCTCGATCCTCATCCTCCCAGAGAGAGAGGGAGAGAGGCGTAGAGAGAGAGAGAGAAAGAGAGAGAGAGAGGCGGGGAGAGAGACAGAGAGGGAGAGAGGGAGAGGGGGAGACAGAGAGAGGGGAGAGACAGAGAGAGAGATGGAAAACAACGAAAACAACGAAAACAACAAAAAATGTGAGAGAAGAAAGGGGAGAGGAGGCAGGAAAGAATAGAGATCGAAGAAGAGAGATCATTGACAAGGGCAGAGGGCAATGACCCTCGGGAAACGGTAAATGGCCAATGAAGAGAGGGGAGGACAGCTTGGAAATTGGAAATGAGAAAAGGGCAAATACTTCTCGCTCGGCACAGAACTGAGACAGGACCCGTGGCACTGAACGACACGGCCGGTACGGGTGCGAAGTACTACTAGATCGTACGGTGCAGCAGGAATATGAAAGATACAAGCACTTGCCTCGCCCCAGGCTGCTCGAGCGTCGTGCCACAAGCAGTCCCGGTTATCGACAAGAGGAGAGGGAGGAAGGAGAGCGCGCAAGGAATGTTCAAGGCTGCCAACGCTCCGACGAGCTGCAAGAGTTCGCATGAGTTCTTCAATACGATACAACTTCCGAAAGGGTCGCAGTCGAACAAGAACCAAAACCTGCCAACGCTACGCTGCCAGACACTGCACGGTGAGAGAATGCTCATGAAGTGGGGAAGCAGCACCATAAGAGCCACCAACAAACCACACTGAAATGATTGTGCGCTTGAACGCCCAACTCGAGCCTTGCCTTGACTCTAGTATTCGTTCTGGAGGCTTCGGACTCGAAGCCCCAAATCTATACACATGTCCCTTACACTCTTGTACAACAAGCGCTTGGCGATGGAGCGTGCAGAGTGCGGCATCGCTCCGCTGAAGTTGCTGCTCACCAGATCTGGTGAGTGTGAGGAAGAGGAGCAGCCTGCCGCACTCGCATGACGGCAGCCGCAAACGTTGACGCGGAAGCTCCACAGAAGAGCAGTGCATCCGCCGACCCATTCGGCAACTCCAGGCGTGTGGAACCATTTCCCCCTCATGGAGGCCCCAGCCGCTGCCTCCAAAATTCGGGAATTCCCTCCCTTTGTTTTGAACTTGCGGCGCGACCTCATGTGGACGCGATTGGAGTCACCCCGGGAGACGAGAAACAGCGAGAAAGAAAAATCCACACCGATGAACTTTAAGCGAATGCACGGGGAAACACCGAAGTGCCTGAGGGAAAGGGGTCGGGATCGGGGGACCCCCCTGTCCCCCCGCCCCCCTTTCCGGTCCCAGCTCCTCTGGGGCGAACCTTCATATCCTCCGAAGGCGGGGTCCGACCAGCCTTCCTGCCCTACTCCCCCCCCTATTGCCCAGCCCTGCTTCCCCCGAAGATGGCAGAACTGGCTGCTGACGCCAGCGACTCTACAGTTGACATCCAACAACACGCGCGTGACCAGCCCGACTCCCCCCACCCCACCCCCCCCACCCCACCCGAGGCAAACGAGTCGAGCGCAACTTGTGCAAACTGCTCAGGCCCTGTGACCGACTACGGCCAGAGCACCCCGCCACCACCCGCGGGGGCGGACCTGCACCCAAGATGGGACACGGGGTGGCCGACCCCCAGGGCGACCCCCCGCGCCTACTCCTCCCCGTTCCAGGTGCTCGCCCGCCACCTGTGGACCAGGACCAGGCGGAGGCCCTGCACCCGAAGGGCCCCCTTCCTGCCCCCTCCCCTCGTCAGGTATACCTGCCCTCCCGTGTGGACGAGCCCTGTGAAACGACAGGTAACCAGGACGGGCAACCACAGCACCGCGGCGGTCGCAGCTGCAAACATAGGCGACACCGCCTCGAAGCGGACCTCACAACTCGAGGGGGCCCCCTCCCCTCCAGGTATACCTGCCCTCCCGTGTGGACTGTGGACGAGCCCTGTGAAACGACAGGCAACCAGGACGGGCAACCACAGCACCACGGCGGTCACAGCTGCAAACATAGGCGACTCCACCTCGAAGCGGACCTCACAACTCGAGGGGCCCCGCACCTCAAAAGGCGGGGCCCCGCCACCTCGAGGCCTGCCGCCGGTGAGCCGCCGCAAGCCGAAGAGGAAGGCTGCCGCGCGTCCCGGCCTCCCAGGGGGGGCCCAACTGCCGCCAGGATGCGCCAGGACGGCCCCCAGAGGGCCGGAGGCGCCACCGGGAGCCTCCGAGCACACCAAAGAGCCCCCCCACCCTCGAAATGAATGGCAGGCTCCCCAACAGAGCCTGTCCAGCGCTGGCGGTGCTCTCCAGGGGCAGATGGCGCGCCGCCGCGGACACACGAGGCCCCGCTGATCGACGAGACCACGCGCGAGCGCCGCTGCGAATCGGCCAGCAAACCGGCGCGGGGGAAGGCCACCTTCGCCGCGCCGGCCTCCTGGCGCAGCGCTCCGCGTCGAATGCAGCGCGCTGCCCTCCGCGGATCGACGGCTGCACCTCCGAGGCCCAGCGCGTCGGCAGGAGGCGCGCGAGCTCGCGTGTGACATGCCTACCGACGCTGGCCGAAAGGTAATGAAGGACGGCCTGCGCGCAGCAGACGCTCAACGCAGTTCACCGTTGCATCGGCGACTGAGAAGCCGAGGGCGCAGCGCGAAGCATCTCCGGAGAGACGAGCCTCGCACGCTTCGCGGACAGACCGAGGCCATCGGCTCAGCCGAGTGCGCGCCGCGTCGACGACTTCTGCACGAGCTGCCTCGTCAAGCTTGCCACCGACGAAATTCGAGCGGGGCGACGACCCAGATCCACGAGAGCCTTTTTAATTCTCGGCGACAAGCTTGTGGATGCCATCCATGACAATGGACACTCTAACAATCCGATCATTGAATTAAAATGTGTTTCACATGTGTAAACATGTTCTAAAAATGTTTCAAACATGTTTTTATATACAACACATGTTTGAAACATGTTTTAGACATCTGGAAATTATTTGGCAGCACACTTCCTCTCCATTAATCGACTTCCACAACGATAAGCGGTCCTGGGGGATGAGGGGAGTGAGGGGGCGGGGGACGCATAACGCAACGAGACGTAAAGCCGCGCCCCCCGCCGTGGCAGGCTGCGGTGCCAGACGCTCTGGGACATCCTGGGACGCTCTGCGGCAGCGCTGGGGACGCGCTGGGCTGGGAGGAGCGTCACGTTCCGGGGGGGGAGAGGGAGGAGAGGGGGGGGGGCATAACGCGCGTTATGGCCCAGAGGATGTTATACATACGCATATATATAGCCCAAGAACACAGCAGAAACAAAAAACAAAAAACACACACACACACACACAAACAAACAAACAAACAAACA